AGCAACACAGAGGTTGCTGTTTTATCATATTGTTAGACACGCGCTTTAGCTAAAACCATTCCTATTAGACATACTGATGAGACGTTGCTGTGAAGACGGTAGAGTCTGCATATTCCGGGGTGCTCACCGTCTTGTAAGTAGAGCTTGCTGTGTGCAGAGTGAAGATGGTTGATGCTGTGATCTCCTGGATGGAGAGGAACTTAGAATCTGAGTCTGAGGAGGAAGGTGGCCCCGGAATGCAGTGCAGAAACCACTGTCCTAGACCACGTGTGCGTATCGTATGTACGCAGCTCCCTGTTTCCGGAAAACTGGAATTCAGAAGCTTAGGCGGGATGGCAGGGACCGAAATAGTAAACAAATCCTGATACAATCAGATTAGGTTAATTATTGGCAGATTACCAGTGAGTTATTTAGACACAACCTGTCCTCAGGTTAGATGTTTTCACATCACAGAGTTCCTTCTTTTGTGTTGACTTTGGATGTTGTAGGAACTCAGAGGAAAGGGCAAAATCCCAGGGACAGCTTTATTATCATTGACCTTTTTAAAGTTTAGAACAAAATGCTGTTTAGAACAAAATGCGTTATTTTGTAAGTAAATTCAGTCATTTCTTTCACAGAAAAGTGTAGACCAAGTTCAGCTGAACCGCTTAGGAGCTGAGTGGGCTGTAATGTATCTGAAATGACCTGAACTCATGATCAAGCCACCCTCCTCTCCCTTCTCTGCCTCCTTTTTTTAGAAAAAGACGTATTTTTCTAGACAGATACTTATCCTGGCTTCGTTCATTATCCTTGATCTGCATTATGACTTTGTAGTTTCAAAATAATAGTTTTTCCTTATTCTTTATTTTTTTCTCCCCCCTCCCTTTTTTTTTGTTTTTGTGCTTCACAGGATAAGGGATTTTAAGTTAGTAGCAGTGTTTTAAGGATTAGGCTGTGATCTGGGGCCAGCGTGGGTGCACTCTGATGCCCCCATGTTGAGGACTTTACTGGAGACCTGACCGGATGAGGACAGCCACATCTTGGGATTTTAAAGGGAGGAGCCCTTAAGCTCACTCAGTTTGTTCCTCTGTCCTTTGACTTCTTCATCCATCTATCCAACAAATAATTGCATGTCTGCGTGCCTTTCTCTTAGTGTTCCCTTTCCCAGATCTGGTAACCGCCCCTCAGCTCAGAATCGCAAGCCTGCAACATTAGGAGCTGCACTGTTCCGTCTCATAGCCACTAGCCATGCATTGCTATGCGCATGAGTGTGTGCATGCTAAGTCGCTTCATTTGTGTCCAACTCTTTGTGACCCCATGGACTATAGCCTGCCAGGCTTCTCTGTCCATGGAATTTTCCCAGGCAAGAATACTGGAGTGGGTTGCCATGCCCTCCTGCAGGGGATCTTCCCGACCCAGGGATCGAACCCTCATCTCTTATGTCTCCCACATTGGCAGGTGGATTCTTTATCACTAGCACCACCTGGAAAGCCCCATGTGCTGCTGTTTAATGTTAATTAAGAAATAAAATGGAAAACTCAGCTCCTCAGTAACACTTGTTAAGGTCAAGCAATCACTCAAGTGCCGTCTGTGGCTCGGGCTGTACACGGATCAGTGTCCATCTGTGGAACACGTCCATCGCTGTGGGGTGGGGGTGTGTACGGAGGAGCTGAGCCAGGCAGTGCTGCCTCTGCCCCAGGCCCACCCCTACCCCTGAGACACCCCAGTGCCCATCTGCGCCATCACCCAGCGCCTACGCCTCTCAACCTAATTCCCATTAAAAACTTCTCCCCGTCTCATTGTAGGTCTTGGTCATCTGTCATCTGAATTAAGGCTGCAGTGTTACCAGGGTTGTGAATTCCTCTCCTGTCCCCCATGGCTGCCACTGCTCCCCTGTGCTCTCCATACCACAAGCATACATTCATCACATTGAACGCTGATTCCTCATCAATAGGACTTTTCTTCTGGGGCACCAAGAGGTTCTTGTGGGTGCAGTATGGGCTTTGACTTGACAGGGTCGGGACACACACACGAAGCCTGACACATCACCCCAGCAGGTATGTGTTCTTTGAGCAGACAGAGGGAGGAACGGGTGGGTGAAGGAGGCCACTCGAGGTTGCACTGTGAAGGCTGGAGCCAGTTGGGATGCATGGAAACCAGAAGAAAAGAGGCATTCGTGGTGGGGACCATCAGAGATGCATGCCTGTTGCCAGGAAGTGAAGGGCGCTGTGCTCCCAGGAGTTGCCAGAGTGGCATGTTCAGCACCATGGCCAGGGCTTCACCCGGGGACATAGACCCTTGGGTTACCGTGTTGATGGTGTGGCATATAACTGTGTTTCCTGAGCTAGTGTGACACCTCTCCGTAGAGGCGCTGCATTTCACACTTTGCAGTCTTCCCCGGTAATTTCCAAGGAGTTAAAGATTCACGTTCCCCTGTAAAGTGAGGCAGCACGTTCACAGAGCTGAGTTAATTCTTCAAGCCCTTCACAGCTCCTGACTTAGCTTAGACGTGTTCGCCACTCAGTCGGAAAGAAGAGTGCATGTGTGCACGTCCCGAGGAGGTCCTGTGATGCACGTTGTGTGATGTGGTAACTAAGAGCAATGGTGGTGGCCAGACAGCCTGTCCGGACTCTGCCTCTCCAGAGCCGTGTCATCTGGACAAGACACCTTCCAATCCCCCGTTTCCTCTTTTTTTTTAATGAGGGTGTTTACCTGTGTCAACCAAAGAAAACCACACAGCCTGAAAGTTGGGAGTTACGTTTCATTTGGGTGGGGGTCCTACTGAGGACTAGAGCCTGGGAGATAGCCTCACAGTTTCTCTGAGGGACTGCTCCAAAGAGGCAAGGGGGGAGCCAGGATAAGCTGGAGTTTTGTTGGGGAAAAATGAACAAACATGTAGTTGAACATCAGAAGGTCACTAGTGATCATAAAAGATAGACGTCTCAGTTTAATGATTTTAGTGCTTTTCTGTGTAGGGGAAGATGCAGGGATCTGGGCTCATGGAACATAGTGCTTCATCCTCTGTCTTGACTGCCTAGGGCTGGTATCATGTTTTTCTCAATTCTGAATTCTCTCAGGGCTGACTTGTCAGGGCAGCTGCTATGGCTGCTGGTTGGATGGTGGGCAGCGTTCTTTGTTTATTGAAATGGCAGGGAGCATGGTTCTGTCCTGCCTTGTGAAGGTTAAGTGTGAGTTACAAGTTAGCATTCTGCTTAGTCTTCAGTGAGACATTTACCACTAGATAACTGATAACAGAATATTAGTTGCATAGCCTTTCACATGAATGGGGAAATCCACACTTGTGTTTCCTGAAGAAAGAGGTAACCCAGGGCTGTAAATACAAAGTGTCACCCAGGACACACGTATGTGGACACTGGCCTTGCCCTTATGCACAGCTAGCAGATATATATAATAACCTTATCCAAAGTGAAACAGACATGCTTGTTACTTTCAGAATCATGCAGATGAGGTGATCTGGTTCAGGAGAAATTTGGCCCGGATCATCTAAAACCCAGAGATACTTCTCTGTCTTTGAAAATAGGATGATCGCTTATGCAAATGGCTTAGGGAAAAGTCATTTTTAATTTTGCATAATCAAGCACCCGCCGTACAGCTGCTCCTGAGAAAGGGGAAGGAAGTCATGTGCTGCTGTTAATTTTAAGTGAGCAAACGAGGAGGACATGTGTGGATCAGAGTGTCATTGAACGATCTATTTTTTTTTTTCACACTTTCAAAAGGATGGTGACGATCCTAACTCTGGGTGTTCGTTGTCTGCTGGCCCACATACAGCTCACAACACAGCCCTTTCTAGACTTCGGGTTGCTCACCTTGCCTAAGGACATTGCATCCTGTCCTTTCCTGGGCCTCCTTTCCTGGCGTCTCCCCTTCCCAGCCGCCCTTGATCTCCCGGGAAGCTTTTGCTCTCCTCCCCCCACTTCCGGGCTGCTCTGCCCTTGCCTGCACCTGCTGTGTTGTGTTGTACCTGCCAGCGTCGGCCACCCTCACAGGGTTGAGCGGGCATCCTCTCAGTCAGTTTGTGTCCGCAGTGTTGAAAAGACGGGGCCAACTTATGCCAGGTACTTGGAAAAGTTTTGTTGGATGAATGAATGCTTGTTCATTATACCTCTCTTAACTGTATTCGCCATAGTGAACCATAACTCTGTTTGGGTAGGAAGCTATACTGTTTTTGGTACCACATAGCTTCTTCTCAGAGAAGGCAATGGCACCCCACTCCAGTACTCTTGCCTGGAAAATCCCATAGATGGAGGAGCCTGGTAGGCTGCGGTCCATGTGGTCGCTAAGAGTCAGACACGACTGAGCAACTTCACTTTCACTTTTCTCTTTCATGCATTGGAGAAGGAAATGGCAACCCACTCCAGTGTTCTTGCCTGGAGAATCCCAGGGACGGGGGAGCCTGGTGGGCTGCCATCTATGCGGTCGCACAGAGTCGGACACGACTGAAGTGACTTGGCTTAGCTTCTTCTCACTGGTGAACACTGTTTAACTTCAGGTGACTCTGTAGACTTGCTTGTTACTGTCAGTCATCCTGGAAACACTAGGGTCAGTTCGGCCCACATGGAGTCTTTGTCACTGTTTTATCCCCATATGTGCTATTGAAATTTTTTTTTTAAGTGGTCACCAAAATTTTTATGGGCTTGAAATAAGAGTTCTTGTGCAGAGGGTTGGTATTCCATTAATTGAGGGTGGTCACAAGCCTACATTGTGTGTGAGCAGTTCCATTGAACAGACCTGTGATTTACTGGGCTTTTGTGTTTCTTCCCTTTGGCTGTTATTTACTCGACTCCTTGAAGTTACTTGCAGAGCTTATTCCAAGAAAAGGAGTGGGAGCCATACCAGAATGCACATTCCTTATTAGCTCCCTGCTAATTAAAAAAGAACTCGTTCTGAGACTAGAGCTCCGTTGATGAGATAATCAAAATGTGAAATTTGAATTTTAAACTTTCTTGGAGACGCAAATGCATTTTGCTTGCCAGTATTTAATTTTATTTTTTCCTTTTTAGCTTTAATTTTGATTGCTGTTACTACTGATACCTGAGCCAGTGGTGATGCTACCTAGGGGACATTTCTACAACCCATAAGTCAACAGCTACATGGTAAGTGTGTGTGCATTTCATCATTAAAGCCATTTAATTTCTATAACATTGTAGTTCAAAATGTTAATTTGAAATAGAATAGGATAAAATATGTTAATCATTAAAGCCATTTAATTTCTATAACATTGTAGTTCAAAATGTTAATTTGAAATAGAATAGGATAAAATATGTTAATGTTTCTAAATATTAAATATTAATATATAATTTAATATATAAATATTAACAGCCAGGTAATATATCAAGCTTTTGTTCCTAGTCAACAGTAAGAATTTGAAAGAGGAAAACTGAAATTTGATATATTCATTTCCTGTTAATTTTTATGTGAACCACAAATGTGGCTATGCAGTTTCTGACTCATTAAACTGGGTCTCATTTTTCTCCCCTGTATATTTTGCCCATTTACTTCAGAATTGTCTAGTCAGTGAAACAAAGCAAGAAAAAGAAATACAAGGTATATGGGTATGGAAAGAGGCGAAAGCAAATTCAGGGTTCCCCTCGCCAGGGGCCTCAGAAATGTGGGTTCACCTGCTAGCCTCTGATATATCAGAGAGGGTGGGGGCTGGGAGTCGCTGTTGAATACCAGCCCGTACTATCTACTAAATTTTGGTTTCTGTGGTTGTGATCTGAAACTCAAGAAAGCACAGCAACACATTTATATCACTTGAGGGTTTAAATTACTGTTTTCTTTTAAGTTTAAAGTTAAAAGTCAGCATCATCTATTGGGAGGTCTTATTTCGGCATTTTCTTCTTTCTGTTAATGTAACTGGAAAGCTGTGTATAGTACTTAAAAGTTATGCGTTGGTTTCAACTTCATTAAATAGCCTTTGTTTTTTAAAGAAAAAGGCTATCTGAAACAATGTTAAGATGTCCTCTCAAATTCTGTGAGAGTATAACAACATTATTTGTTAACTCTGTTATAACTGTCACTTAGCTTAGGAGGAGTTAACAGTTGTTTTGTATGCTTGCTGTCATGTCTTATAATATACCGACATGTTTTGTATAATTATATAAGATACACTGGAGGAGGGCAGGGCAACCCACTCCAGTATTCTTGCCTAGAGAATCCCATGGACAGAGGAGCCTGGCGGGCTACAATCCATGGGGTTGCAAAGAGTGAGACGCAACTGAAGCGACTTGGCACGCGCACACAATCTTGATAAGCTGCTGAAAACATTGAAAAACATTCCTCAGGGCACCTTGGAGATCATGGACTCTCACTTGGTGATGCTGACGGAGGATGTTAGTTGCAGAAACATACTAAGACTTTGGCACCTGCCACAGCTGGTTTGGAGTTGAAGTTCTTGCACTTACTAGTCACATCACTCTGGATAAGTTATTTTTTGAGCCCTGAGTTCTTAATCTGTTAAGTTTATCTTTATCTGCCAGCTTATAAAGTTGTAATGGGTGTCAATGACATATAAAATGTTTACGTACGTATTGATAACATGTTTCCATTTATCATGTATAACCAATTTACCATCATCAGCTTTATGATTTTGTTTCTTTGGTTGATTTTCTGTAAAATGACATGTCCGAACATGGGTTGGAAGAGAAGTTCCAGACAGAGATCATTTCAGAAAGGAGTGAGTTTATTGAGAACAAAGAGCAGAGATCATGTGGGCACTGTGAGTGCAGCGGGCTGACCTCCTGACTGACCAAGGCAAATCACTGCTTTTTGGGGGTTAATTGAATGCTTTTGAACTGTGGTGTTGGAGAAGACTCTTGAGAGTCCCTTGGACTGCAGGGAGATCCAACCAGTCCATCCTAAAGGAGATCAGTCCTGAGTGCTCATTGGAAGGACTGATGTTGAAGCTGAAACTCCCAATACTTCAGCCACCTGATGCAAAGAAACAGCTCATTGGAAAAGACCCTGATGCTGGGAAAGATTGAAGGTGGGAGGAGAAGGGGATGACAGAGGATGAGATGGTTGGGTGGCATTGCCAACGCAATGGACATGAGTTTAAGTAGGCTCTGGGAGTTGGTGATGGACACAGAAGTCTGTCCATGGGATTGCGAAGAGTCGGACATGACTGAGCAACTGAACTGAGCCAATTTGTATAGCTTCAAAACAAAGAAAATTTCTGCTGGAAGGATGGCATTAGATGAATGGTTAGGGTGCTATAGGGAGAGTACTGGGATGGGCATTGTTGCCTAATTTGGGGTCATGAAAACTGGCTGGTAAGGATCAGGGGGGCTATTTGGCAATAGTTACAAGAGGCCCAGTCAGTTCCAGAGATGACCTTAGTATTGGGCTCAGCTTCTGTGGCCTTGGGGCAGGACTCTGCATCACCTGGAAGCCTGAATGATCCTTTTGGAGATGATCATAATCCACCTTTTGTACTGTGTTGGAACCAGTAGGATGCCGGGTGTACTCTTTGAGACCGAGTGTTGCAAATTTTAGATACTTCACTGGTACATCACTTCCTGCTTTCATAGTGCAAACAATTGAGAGTAGTTAACTAAAATAGCGTTCAGTTTATCTTAACTTTCTTCCATGAGCACAGCTTCTAGTTGCCAAAAATACTGCCATCAGGATGCTTTTGGTTTCTAAAAATACAGAGACTCCACAGATTCATAGCACGTGTACTGGGGAACAGTTGATAGGTTCTACAGATTTACTGCTATTTTGACCTTATTTTATGTCATTCATATGAATCACCAAGATATGGCTATTTTTGACCGACAAAAGTGGTAATTTTGTATGGTTCGAGTTGATATTTCAGGCTATGCCAATAGTGTTTTCTTTACACAATTGGCAAATGATCTGCTTTTGTATCTTATAGTTCATTTCCTCCAGGACCTTAAATTTATTTTTAATGCATTTTGGACTTTCATTCATTTCTTTGATGAATGTCATTCTCAGATGGCTGCTGTAAAGGAGTAGGGTGGAGAAAAAGGGGGAGAGCCGCATCTTTCTTAACAAGAAGAGGAGATGCTGACTTACCTCCAGGAAGACAGTCCTTTTATGGTCAAGTGAGTGAACAGAAACAAAAACTAGAGCCTTTTGAGAATTAAACCTTGAGGTCATAGGTCACATAGTAGAGTCTGAGCCCCTGAGAATTCTTTGAGATTCATATTTTTCAGAGAGCTCTGTCTCCCTCACAAGTCTTAAAGCACTCTCAATGGTTTCAGCTTCTTCATGTGTTCTTAGGGAAATAATGCAGTGGCCACTCAACTTAGTCTTGTGTTTGTTAAGTGTCTGTAGATCACATGTTTATTGTACTTCGAATCAGAAGTTGACATTTTAGTTTTATTTAAAAGGGCATTCACGTAAGAGACACTTAGTGTGGATCCTAATGAATACTGCAGGAATAATACTGCAGAAGGCAGCTCATGAGCCTGGCCTGCTCATCACAGTGTGATCGCAGCCCGGTCGTGGTGCTGATAAACCATCCTCCCCTTCCTGTCCAATTAAAGAGGAGAGGGAGGGATGGGGCTAGTTCTTTAATGTGTCAAGTAAGCCTCGATTCCTTCACAGGAGTAGTGTCTGGAGGTTTGGGATCCACTTTTCGGCATTCCCGACCTTGCTCGAGTGTATTCTCATCGCAGTCCTTGGAGGTGAGCAGCAGGCGTTGTTGCTTCCGTGTTGTAGGTGAGGACTGGGGTTTAGTGGAAGAACTCGGGTTTGGCTCAGTGGTCCGGCTTGTCCAGCTGCGGTGCGGGAGGGAGGCGGGGCCCGGCAGAGCAGCTGTCTCTGCTCAGCGCTCACCCTCTTTGCAGTACTGACTTGGGGCCTGGTGAGAGGGGAACTCATCCCCTGAGGAGGAGGGAACTGCAGGAGGAAACTTTTCCTCGGAGCTGAGCTAGCGTTTCTGTCTGCCGGATTCACTGAGCCATTAACTGTGGCCTTTTGTGTTACTCTTCTGGAGTTGAGCCCGAAGAGTTGCTAAACTTATCTTTTTTCTGTGGTTTTTTTTTTTTTTTTGGTCTGTTGTAGTTGTTTGTCCCATGTCTGTGGCCGACAGTAATTCTTTCTACCTGACCATCATGTCATAATCTAAATAGGGAATAAATTTCCAGGCATCTCCCAATTTGCATTCTGCTCTGTATCTCTCATCCACCCCCACGATCCAGTTTTAAGCAGTTTTATTAGGCGTAACTGACCAACAGTAAAGGATGCGTGTTTGAGCGTACCGTCTGATGAATTCTGACCCGTGCACATGGCCACGAAACCACCAGCACAGACCAGACATCAGCTCGCACGCTGTCACCATGGACGGTTCCTCTGGCCTTGGTCAGCCCTCCCTGGTCGCTCCCCGACCTCCAGGCAGCCTCCGATCTTCCCTGTGTCTCTGGAGATGGGTTTGCATTTCCAGAATGTGACTGTGAAGGGAGACACGCTTGTGTGTGTCTGCGCGTCTTCGTCTGACACCAGCCGTGTGGGTTTTCCAACGGCAGGCAGTTTGGCAACACCAGCCTCGGGTCATGCAGTTGACCTCAGTTCTGACATGTGTCTGGTGGAGGGCAGTCACCCCGAAGGTGAAGGGTCCATCCCCCACGACCCCCCGCCCTCACCCCACCAGCTTCCTTTGTCACCTGCGTTCTGGCCGACTAACTGTAAATCCAAGGTTCCCACGGCCCCATCTGAGCTTCATGGTGCCCAGAGCCCAGGAAGCCAGTTTTCCCACCGGACTCATGGCAGCATTGTTAGAAGGACCGTCAAGGACACCATGCGCAATTCGATGATGAGGACAGAGGGCGAAGTCTTGCGGGCCCCAAGCCCCTGGAGCTTCTGTCCCTGTGAGCTTGGTCATGAAGTCCACCCTCCTGGCACGTAAATGCATCTGGTGCATAAACCTGGGAGCCCTTGAACACCATCATTCTGGGAGTATGGAGGCTTCGTGATGGACACAATGCATTAGGTCATCAGCAGTGGGTAATGGAACTCAGCCTCTAGCCACTGTCCTCTGCTCAGGGGTTCGAGGGTAGGACTGAAGCTTCCAGCCTCCTACTCACTGGGTTGGTTCCCCTGGTAACCAGCCCCCATCCTTAGGGAGGGTCCAGAGTCACTTCACTAACATCCACAGGTGTGCTTCAATGGGGTTGGCTTGTTTGTGGCAAAAGACACCTTTATAGCTCTTGTCACTTAGGAATTCCAAGAGTTTTTGAAGCTCTGTGCCATCGATGGAGATGAAGACCAAATATATGTATTTGTTACTATAAATCACAGTATAATAGTTACATAGATGGAGTCCTGCTGGCTGTACTGTGTTTTGGTCTGACTTTGGTTCAGTGTGATCATCCCAGGTTCATCCACGTTGTTTCCTGGATCAGTGATTCATTCCTCACTGTTGCTGAGAAGTGCTGTTTGTTTATCTGCTCGCCTGTTGATGAATTTGGGCTTGTTTCTATTCTGGGGTTGTTTTTGGCTTTTACAGATGAGGACGTATGATCGTTCATGTACAGGTCTTTTTTTGGGTGTGTGCTTTTACTTCTTCTGCGTGAGTTCCCAGGCATGGAGTAGATCCTAGGGTCATCCTGAGAAGTGTGTGTTTAATCTTTTGAGAACCTGCCGGACTGCCATAGTGATTGGGTCGTTTTCCATTCCCTTCAGCAGAGAACTGTGCTCTGTCCACATCCTTAACATTCGGTGTGGCTGGTGGTTTTACCTTATCCATTCTAACAGGTGTGCTCACCACCTCCTAGTGGTTTCAGTTTGCATCTCCTTCGTGATAGACTGATGGCTCTGGGGCTTCTTCTTATAGCAGGCAAGCAATGAGACAGGAGCCAGTGGTGAACGCATGGGGGCAGAGGAGTGTCATCCTTGCCCTCTGCTCTCTGCCTTTTCAGTTAGAACTGGGTGTTAGCATCCACCTGAAGGGCTCACATGTCAAGGAAAGGTGCATGACTGTTTATCACTGTGTTAGTCCATAGACAGAACTCTGCTTTCCCCACCCAGAGATACTTATTATTTAATTGTAAAGGGTTTTGAGCAAAGACTGGATGATTTTTTTAAAATAATGGGATGCTGCTTCTAAGCCTTGGAAGGCAGCTCTGCTCCCCACTGTACCTCGGATCTGCTTCTAAACCATAGCTGTGAACGGCACTCCTCCACCACCCCTATGTTTAGTGAGTGGCCTCCATGTGCCACGCGTGGGGTCGGCGATGCAGTTTTATCCCGCCCCTTCTCCCTCTTCCCCACCAGTGAAGTCTTTCCAATTGTGTTTTAACTTCCCGGGAAATGAGAAATACCTTAAACTAGTGCTTGTCACCCTGGATTGTAACTTCATTTATATGCCTGTCTCTCTCACTGAACCTTTAATTCCTTGAGGAAAGGGATTTTTGTCTTATTTTTTTGCTGCTTATTCTCTGCATTTCCACTGGCTGAAGTATAATCAAAATGCAGATGTTTGGTGTGCAGGCGAATCCAATGTGGATGTTTCTGGAAGCCAGCTAAGTGTATCTAACTGGAAGGAAGGAAAGCCCCTGAGAGCTCAGGACCCTTGGAGAGCAGCAGCTCTGTTGATCAGAAGAAGAACCTGAGGCCTCTCTCGGTTAAGACGTCTCCCAGGGCTGTGCAGTGTTAGCGGCAGGACCCCGTACTCTCTGTCTCTCATCCTGCAGAAGCGGACAGACCGTGTTCTAGTAGCAAAGTCTGGACGTTGATCCCACTGAACCACAACTGGTGAACCATCTGTGGTCCTTCCCCCGCCCTGCCCCTCACTTCATCACGACTTTCATCTGAAGCTTAACTAGGAAGAGGCCAGGCAGTGTTGCTCTAGAAGGTCACAGAATGGGCCGGGCCTTGGGGAAGCCCAGGTTCCCCCTCTGACTGCGGACACGTGACTTCCTGGGGATGTCAGCCGGCAAGCAGAGTGCTGTGAAACTGGGGAGCAACCGCAACCTTGCCCTTCACAGTGGACAGTACGGCGGAGTCAGAGCACGGGCTCTATGTGGCCACTTTTTCTGGGATCATGTTTATTCTGAGGACAGAATTCCTGCGTACCTGTCAACATGATCACAGATCCAAACACGGGCAGCCAGCACAGCAATCTCCCAGAAAAAGTGGAGCATCACCGAAAGATAATGAGGTCATCTCACTGAGAATATACAGTGGGGACTTCCCTGAAGGCCCAGCGGTTAAGAATCCTCCTGCCGGTGCAGGGGACGCAGGTTCGATCCCTGGTTGAGGAACTAAGACCCCACATGCCGCAGAGCCACTAAGCCCAGGTGCTACAACTGCTGAGCCTGAGAGCTGCAACTGCTGAAGCCCGTGCACCTAGAGCCCACGCTCTGCAACAAGAAAAGCCGCTGCGATGAGAAGCCCACACACCACAACTAGAGAGTAGCCCCCATTTGCCACAACTAGAGAAAGCCCACACGCAGCAATGTAGACCCAGGGCAATCAAACGTAATAAATTAAAAAAGAAGACACAGGAATCTTAAATTCCTGTGTGTATGTTCAACAGCAGACCTTCAAGATACATAAACACAAACTGATGGAGCTCAAGGGAGAAATCGACAGATCCACAGTGATCACTGACAGCTTCAACCCCCCTCTCAGTAATTCATGAAACGAGTGTATTAAAAATCAGCTAAGGATACAGAACATCTCAGCAGCAGCGTCAGTCATTGCAGCCGATACACAGTCTTTTGAAGCATGTGTGAGGCATTCACCAAGACACACCGTTTTCTGGGCCATAAAACAAAGCAGATTTAAAAGAATTAAAATCAGACAAAGCATGCCCTCTGATCACAACAAAATTAAACTGAAAGCCACCAGCAGTAAGAGATCTGGAAAAACTGACTAATTGTGTTTGTCTCACTCAGTTGCCTTTGGCTGCTCACCCAAAAGACATCTTCCAGATGGTTCACATGGAAGGGATGGTCACAGAAAGAGATGCTCTGAGAACTTCATACTGTTTTAAACATCTGTGGAGTTACTTCCATAGTTTCTTTTTTTTTTTTTTTTTTTAAGAAAAAAGGTATTCCAGTTAATCATGCTATGGGATAACTGAAGAGCTTCATTGTATGGAATTTTAAAAAGAGATTGGATGAGTTATTGGAAGATAAGAAAGTTGCCTGAAAGTAGAAAGCATATTGATATGATTCTGAAATTCTTTTATCATTTGACTTGAATTGTAATGAAGAGTACTACTGGAAGTTAAATGCCAGTGTGCAGGCGTCTTGTTGTGTAATGAGTAAAATCACAGGAAAAATTCAGGTTTAGATTAATTGTACAGTAAGCAAAATTAGATGGGAAATGATTTTAAGTATTTTATTTTAGCCATGCTTAACTAGAAATCGTGCATACATCATTTTTCTATAAAAGTAGAATGTGCTGTCTGTATATCTCTGAAATCTGTAACGTTTATATAAGTAGTTTGACATCTGTTGCGTGTTTAGCCAGTTCGCTCACACAGATGCGCTAGGATAATGCGGATTCCTGGGCAAGAGTCTTTTTCCAGGGAGTCGAAGCTCCAGGCGTGTTACACTGGGACTGTGAGCTTCTGAAACCATCTTTTTCATTTTCAGATCGTGAGCCATGCCCTTAGTGAAGAGGAACATCGAGCCCCGGCACTTGTGCCGGGGAGCCCTGCCCGAGGGCATCACCAGCGAGCTCGAGTGTGTGACCAACAGCACCCTGGCCGCCATCATCCGCCAGCTGAGCAGTCTGAGTGAGTCCCCTCGCCTCAGGCTCCCTCCTTTCCGATTACCAGTGGCGTGTTAATTTTAATGACTTTAGTCAAGTGATTTCAGTTCAGTAGTTCTGGGATTGTCCAAAGCAGAGGCTTTGGAGGAAAAAGCCTTTCTCCCTCCTGAAAATTTCCCAGCATGAAATGAGCTGTCTGCCCTCTCTGGTCTGCTGACCCCAGCTTGGTGTGATCAAGTTGGAATTGACTGGTTCACAGATGACTAGATAAGACCAAAATTGTGTAGTTTAAAGTAGTGTTCACTTTTAAAAGATTATTATACATAAGGATAAAATCATTGGTAGTTGTTTTTTTTAAGCGAGTTATTTATTACACTTGGATAGGACTAATCTTTTTTTTAAACGTAGTGAATTGAGAACTGTGCTATGCCTGGCATAGAGTGGAGGCTCGATACGTGTTTGTTGATTGAATAAGATTTCAACTGAATCAGAGGATCCAGCTTGAAACCAGTGAGACTTGCTGATTTTAACCTTCTAAAGGTTAAAGTGCAGGTACTGACTTCCAAATGGAGGTCAGCAATGAGCTGCTGGTGACACGTATGCAGTGCCATGTACACGTCACACGCATGGGTTACAGACATGTAAGCAAACACAGGCATAAGGAGGAGAGGGCTTCCTTTTTTTCCTATTTTGAACATTAGTATGAGATACACAAGGAATACTCCATTTCTTAAGACTCGTTTGTCCATGAAAATGCTTTTCTTCCAAAGCTTTTTGAAGTTGCAGTCTTTCTGCCTAACTTTTACATTCACGTCGTGATCTTATTTTCTCACTTCATCCCACTCCTTTTCGGTTTAGATGGTTCACACTGCATTTTGGGTGACAGGTTTTCACAGTTAAATTTTCAGAACCTCTGTTAATAATGAGAAAATCCTCCATGGAATTTCACAACCCGGTCACCTCAAGCACAGGAGAGTGGTTTAAAAAAAAAAAAACACAACTCAAGTACTTTTATTTGTTTTGAAGAAGAAACATAACAGATGACTTTTTTTTTTTTCTTTAAAAGAATTGTACTGTGTTGTTATGGATATATTTTTGATATATGATACCTATAATCATTGGCTGAGGCCAGACTAACCTGGAAATTACTTAAAATGTGTTTCAAAATAGATTTCTTCTGGAGTCTGAACTAATTATAATTGATTTTTGGTAGCGGTTGTTGATAAAATGTGTAGACTCATGTTACAAGAGGATACCATGTAGATTATTGAAGGGTGAACATGTTTCTGTGTGCCTTCATGTATTTCTGTAAGAATGCTTTTCAGTCTCTTGTTTTTGTGCCTGAAGCGTCTATGGGCCTGGGGTCTACGTGAGGAAAACCAACGTGAACTATTTAGGTTGTTAACAATCGTGCCGTGTTCCGTAGAGCGTTGTGTCAGCCGTGTCTGTGGGGCCTGTTTGCAAGTGGAGCTGCCCACATGGTCTGGTCTGTTCCATGGAGCCCCCTCTGGGCAGCCTGAGGCCCGCCCGTCCGAGGGCCTCTGAGTCTTCACCCCGGGGACCCACGGGTGTGCTGTGTCACTCGGCAGGCAGAGGGTTGAGGCTGCTTGTCAGCTCACCTCACAAGAAGCAGGTTACCCTGGGCTGTCCAGGTGGGCCCAGTGAAAACCGGGGGTCCTTTAAATGGGCAATCCGGAGTCATTAGTTCTCTAGTGCAGCGGTCCCCAACCCCTGGGCCGCAGACCACTGCCTCCCGTCAGGTCAGTGGTAACATTAGATTAGAGATAAAGAGCACAGGAAAGTGTAGTGTGTTGGATCATCCCAAAGCCAGCCCCCTGCCCCCGATCCGTGGAAGAATTTTCTGCCAGAAAATCGGTCCCCCAAGACCAAGAAGGCTGGGGAGCACTGCTCTCGTGGGTCTAGGGGAGGAAGAACAGAGCCAGGGCCAGAAGGCGTCTCTTTGGTCTTTTCCAGAAGGAAGACTTAGCAGTGGAGGGCCTGGTGCACCTCTGGTGTCTCTCTGGTTCTCTTCACATCTGTGGGGGGATAGTTCAGCGTCATGAGGGGATAATAGATACCAAATAGTCCCTCAGAATGCAAACAGAACTAACATATGACCCAGCGATTCCACTCCTGGATTTATATCCAGAAGAAAATGTAAATACTAACTGGAAAACATTCTTCAACAACCTCTGTGTTCCTAGCAGCACTGTTTACAAAAACTGAGAGGTGGAAGCAGCCTGACTGTCCATTGACAAACCAATGGACAGAGACAGTGGACTGTAGATACACACATACACACAGGAGAATATTACTCTGCCATAAAAAAGAAAGAAATTCTGCCATTTTCAGCAATGTGGATGGACCAAGAGAATATTATACTTGGTGAAATAAGTGTCAGAGAAAGACATACTGTATGTCACTTATATGTGGAATCTAGAAAATAAATGATTGTATATAGCAAAACAGAAACAGACTCACAGATACAGAAAACAAGCTAATGGTTACCAGTGGGGCAGAGGGAGGAGCAAGATATGGGTGTGGGATTAAAAGATACGAACGACTGTGTATAAAGCAGATAAGCAACAAGAATCTACTATATATAGCACAGAGAATTATAGCCATTATCTCGTAATAGCTTTTAATGCAGTATATAACCTGTAAAAATATTGAATCACTGTGCTATGTAACTGAAATGAAAATAATATGTAAATCAACTTTACTTCAGTGAAAAAAAATTAGTGTGTTACTTGGTTTTCCAGTAATGGAGTATTGATATTCTTTTCTTCAAATAATGACAGTTTCGTGTAGCAATTAACATTGAATTGGGAGTGCTTTTTCATCATTTTCCTTGATTAATTATCTGAGTGCTCTTATTCTTATCACCTAGTTGCTCAATTAAAATTATTGTCTTGCAATCAAATTCCTTCTGATATTATAATTCTAATAGAATTTGCTTTAAAAAGGAGACAGAGCATTTGTGTCCAATCCATTTCTGTGCCTCCCAAGCCAGTTTCCGCTTCTCTCTCTACGTTCTTGCAGTAATAGCTTTCTTTTCCTTTTTTATGAAGGCCCCCAAGATGTCACAAGGAAAGGAATTAGACCTTAGGTACCCCCTGCCCAGAGTTTTTGGTTATATTTGATGGTACTAATAAGATAGTATAGAGAACTTAGCACAGAATAACATGAAAGGAAAAAATTAACCTTTTTTTAAAAAATTAATCACAGAAAGTCATTGATAATGGTTCATATATATATCATTCTAAAAGTGATTTCTCATACATCTGGTTTTATAGACTATTCTCACTTGGTAGATATTCAGCATCTAAGATATGTTTTTAATAGCTAGAGATTATTATATTGATATGCCATGAATAACCATTATCTTGCTGTTGGGCATACATATGTTTCTTTGGGGAAACACTGTCATAATTCTTGTATAAAACTAGTACTTACATCTCAAATCTTTTTTGGCATCTCTTTTTTTTTTTTAAGATTTCTTTCATCTTATATGTCATCAAGCTTCCTCCCACAGAGCTAAGATCATCCTTACCAATGGTATAAAAATTCTGAGACTATCAGTTTTAAACATGAGTCTCTTTAAAAAAAAGATTACAGAACCTATTTTCCATTTAATTTCTACATTGAGTACTTGTATAAATGAGAAGGAAATTCTGTTTTCTTCTCAGTTTTTTAATTAGTAATTAATATTTTTATTAATACTCTTTATGTATATGTCTCATATCAAACCAAATGCTAAATTGAATCAAAATACTTTTCTTGATGGCTTGCAGCATAATACATTTGCTTTATGTAATTGGATCTGAAATTCAGGGTTGTGTTAATTGATTATACCAAGTGCAGTTTTAGTCAGAAGAGAGATTTTAAGTGTTTTGAAAGCATGTGCTGAATAGATTTCTTGGATGTTTTTAGCCAAATGGAATATTTGAGGGGGAAAAAGGGAAGATTAAACATAATATATGCAAGAGATAGATCACAAGTTCATGACCATGCAGGTTCAGGCTAGGCTAAGGGTGCTTTAAGAGAAGAGGTGTTTATGTACTAGACAGAGTTGACTGGAGGAAACAGCATGAATTTTTAAAAATTTACTGCCTCAAACTGAGATACGTGTTTGCATTTCTTGTGGATAAAAATAGAAAGCCAGTGAAGGAGGTAAGCAGTCCTGTATATGTGTATGTGTAAAGTAAGGCTCTGTCAGCCACAGAATTGAAGGTAAGTGGAAGAATCTGCTCCTGACAAAGACTGTTGGAAACTGAAGCGTTTTCCCTAACCCATCCCTCACCTGGAGCATCAGACGTGTTTCCTCAATAGAAGTAATGACACCAGGGTTGTTTCTCACCTCTCCCTGCTCTGGGCTGACTGCATCGCAGCAGGATTTAAATGCAGACTGATTCTTCCTAACACACGTGGAGAGCCAGCTATCAGACCTCTCTGCCTTCATCATCTGTGTTCTTCCCGTCTCATGAGTTCATAGGCCTACGGTAACGTATCATAAGTGACTTACAGGTGTCTTTCTGACCGTTGCGATCTGCAGTTATTATCACCTAAAAACGTTGAGGGAAGGTTTTCAAGGTTTTTAATGTTTTTTTCTAAAATTGTCCAAACCGTGTCACCACTGTCCTGTCAGTCCACGACTGTGATCATCAGCAGTCTCAGGTCAGTTGTGTTCCTCCTCGACACAGGGCCTTTCATAAGGGTAGGTCTACTGTGTCTGTTTCTTTCTCTACCAGCCTTTTACACACGTGGTCCAGCCAAAAGTAGGAGACTCACGGGAAGGGAGAAAAGCATGACACTCGATCAAGAAAAAGAGAAGTTACAGAAAGAAGCAGGAACCACAGATGACCCCAGCCTGGCATTCCAGACATGGAAGTCACACCCACCTACATAAGAAAAGATGTCAGCAGCTTCTCTTAGATCATCAGAGAACTGAGGTCACAGGACAAACCACTGCCCCAGAACTGGGAAAGACAGATTCCAAGGATCACAGCTTACCAGGATATGGGA